GGCTCCCCGCCGCAGGGCCCCCTCGTCCTGGGCAACGTGCAGCCCGAGGTCTTCCTGGCTGTCATTGAGTTCCTCTACACCAACTGCGTGACCCTCAACAGCCACATCGTGAGTGGGGCACGGGGCCAGCGGGGTGCTTTGGGCATGGCAGGCAGGAGAGGGGGCCGCATGGGGACAGGGCACATTGCTGCTCCTGGGCCAGGAGGAGAGGCTCTGCGTGACGCCTTCCTGCTGGGACGTGCAATAAGTGTTTGGGGCCTCAGCCCAGTGTGAGAAGGGGTTGTCCAGAGTGCTGTCTCCTGCGGGTGTCTGCCCCAGCCTTGGCTGCCTGGCTGTGCACACCCCAGGCAGAGAGGTGACAGCTCTGGCCTCTGGTCACCCCTGCCCAAGCGCTTGGTGCCATGCCACCAAAATCCACAGGGAGCTAGCAGTACCTGGGGCGCGGCTGCATGAGGCCCCTGGGATGGTGGCACCAGAGCTGAACACCTCTACCTTTCCCCACCTCCATGTCCCCTATTACAGCAGCCCCTTTCCCCCACCTCCCTACCTGGGAGCTGGGTGCAACTGGTAGCAAGAGCAGAGATGGGGTGATGGCAGGAGGGAGGGGGACACATGGCCTTGGCTCTGGCCTGCCAACAGGCCCTGCATGCCGGTGCTCATGGGGTTTCTCTTGCCGCTCAGGCCCTGGAGGTGCTGACCTCGTCAGTGGAGTACGGCCTGCAGGACCTGTGCAAGGTAAGGCTCTGCTCACACCCGGGGTGGTGTCACCGACTGAGCCCAACGGGTGCCCTGGGCCAAGCAGCACCCTGGGGTGGTCCCCGCATGGCTGGAGAGGGCTCAGCAGATGGTGTTCGGGGTGGTCCCTGCGCTGTGGCGCATCGCCTGGGGCAGCTCAGGCTCAGCCCTGTTTCTCGAGCCCAAAGGGGCTCTCCGATGGGTTCCCCCCTCCGGGGTGGTGCAGAGCTGGGCCAGGAGCTGGGAGCCACCTCGAGGTGCTGGGGAATCCCAGGGAAGGGCACGGGGCCTCTCTGCTCCTCCCCCGGCTGCAGCGAGGGCTCACTGCAAGGGCAATCGGAAAACCCCCATCTCACCCCCCCGGGGGGCTACCTCTGCCCTCCGCTCACCTGCCGGGGGATGCTGCTGGGGAAAGCCCCAGGCGCCGGGGAGCACCCAGCACATGGCGCCACGGAGGGGTGCCAAGCCTTGGGAAGGCACAGAAAGCGAAGGAGACGCTGGAGGCA